GCCTCTTTAGAAAGTATATTCAAATGTGCCACTTTTTTTTGCTAGAACTGCATAGACGTGTAAGGCTTCTTAACTTTTACAAGGTTTATCTCTTAAGTTTGTGCATGCTGTATCTTACTAAGACAGCTGCTTTGCCTATCAACTAGCATGATGTCATAGATGGATGAGCCAGCCAGATATTCTGAGGAATAACAAGGTAGCAAAGTTTTTCTGGGCTACATGATGACAGGGAACATAAGAGCTGACATATGCTCCAGTGAGACAGTCAAGGTTTCTGCAGTCCTGAACATCATTATCTTGATAGGAATTCTGAAGAATGCCACAGATACTGGTTTTGTCCATTAAAAACTTTCCCCACAGCTTTCCATAGTAGTTGGCCAGTTTGCACTCTCACCAGCAGTGCAGGGAGTTCCTTTTTCTCCACATCCTCGCCAACAGTTGTGTTGCTAGTTTTTTTAATATGTGCCATTTTCACTGGTGTAAGATGGTATCTCACTGTAGTTTTGATTTGCATTTCCCTGATTACAAGTGATGTTGAACATTTTTTCATATGCATGTTGGCCATTTGCATTTCCTCTTTGGAGAAGTTTCTTTTTAGCTCTTCTGCCATTTTTTTGACTGGATTATTTACTTTGTTTTTGTTGAGTCTCATCAGCTCTTTGTAGATTTTTGTGATCAGTCATTATCATTAGTGTTGTGTGCAAAAATTTTCTCCTAGTTGGTGGGGTTTCTCTTTGTTTTGGTTATTGTCTCTTAGGTTGTGCAGAAGCTCTTTAATTTGATGTAGTCCCACTGTTTTATCTTTGCCTTCACTATCAGTGCTTTGGGTGATGTGTCTTTAAAGATGTTAGTAAGGTGTATGTCATGTAGTGTTTCGCATATATTTCCTTCTGTATATTTTAGAGATTCCTCAACCTTGCTAAGATGGAGCTTCCATATGATCCAGCAATTCTACTCCTAGGTATTTACCCAAAGAACACAGAAACATTAATTCCAAAGGGCATCTGCACCCCTGTGTTTATATCAGCACTATTTGTAATAGCTAAGCTATGGAAACAACCCAAATGCCCAAAAATAGATGACTGGATCAAGAAGATATGGTACATATACACAATGGAATATTACTCAGTAATCAAAAAAGAAACTCATGCAATTTGCAGCATGTGGATGGAGCTGGAGGGGATCATGCTCAGCGAAATAAGCCAGAAAAAAAAATACCAGATGGTCTCATTCATAGCAGGAACTTAGAAAACTAAATAAGGGACCAGGGAAAGACGTTCTAATAAAGTAAATCAAAAAACAACAAGCAACTATAAACAGAGCCACACTACAGGGGGTGGGGGGAGGGGAGTAGGATCAAAATAAGGGGGTGGGAATTGTATGGGGACTAAAACCAAGATGAAAATGCATACATTGTGCAAAAAATGAAAAATGATGTAAAAAATAAAAATGAAAACAAAAAACTTTCCCCACCACAATTGTGATTGGTAAAACTACCTATTAGCTTTATAATAATATCCAATAATACAGTTGCAAGGCCTGTCTGGCTTTGAATCAGTCCTAAAAGGTAAATTAATGGGTTGCAGTAGAAATCATCACTGAATTTTCCAGTTAGTTGATAGTAGCATTGATTTCTCCTTAACTCCTGAAATAGAATATTACTTTTAATTTAGTATCTGGTGCAGGTGTGGCATAATGGCTTCCCTTGGTGCACCCACTATAATGACCCTCATGTCACAGGAACCAATTTGGACGTTGTTTCAATAGTAGGTATATATCAGGAAAAATATAATATTTAACCATGGTTTCATTGATTGCCTTGTGAGATTACCTATATCCTATTTCCTTCTTTTAACTGACCTCCAAATACCCTTCATTATAACCAGTGAATCATAGTGGAGCTTTGGAGCTCTAGGAATTAGCTTTAGTTCAAAGCTAACCTCCAACAATTCCTAGAATATCTGGGTATTTTTTCCTCAGGCATGTTCACCTTTCTGATACTTAAGCAATTTCTGCAGTGCTTTTGGGTAAAGGCTATCTTTTTTCAGAGTAGGTCTTTTGGTCTTCATTTGGGCTATGATCGGATAACATCTCTGTGAAAGGCCTGCAGGCAATGAGGGTTGGTAAGTTTGGGTCTTTATGAGAATTCAGCATTCTTGAGGTGAAAGGTTTTATGGACAGTATATTGATTTTCCCAAATATACAATGGCAGCTCTGTAAGTTATGAAGTCTTGCTTAGGGATAATGTTTCTTATTTTTTTCCATGAAGATAGCTGTTTTAATTCACCAACATTTCTATAAAAATATTACACACATAGTAGTGCCAGAGACCCTATATCACAATTATACTGAGGTATGCAATAAGACCTGCTTGAATTTGACAATTCCTAGTGCTGCCGTGTTCATGATACTGGGCTTGGTAGAGGGGGTGATTTTTTTTTTTTAAGATTTATTTTATTTATACAAGAACCGGGGTACAGGCCAGATGAGCGGGAGGGTGAGAGTATTTACCAGAGACAGAGCACGGAACAGAACAGGCAGACTGATGAAATACACTGCTGAGGGGAGTGGCGGGCCAGACAGGAGAGGTCTGCTCGCCATGTGAATTGCTCTGAGGCCAGCAGGGATCAAACCAGCGCTGCAGAGGCTGCAGACAGCTTCACAGCGCTGCGCTCAAGCACCTGTGCCACCAGGGAGGCCCAGAGAGGGAGATATTGACAGATGCAGCCTCTGCCCACACGGTGGGGGGGTAGGTGGGTGCAGGGGGAAAGGGGCACATGCTGGGTTGGTGTGTGTGTGTGTGAGGGTGAGGATGAGGGAATAGGGCCAGGAAAGCACCAACTTGGCAGCCTGGACACTGGGTGTAAAAATTTCTGGAAGAGATAGATGCATGTGATGACAAAGGAGGCACTTTGTGAATATGTTGGAATCAGACAAGCAGGTTAAGTGATGGTGAGGTGGTAGAACATTTTTTTTTAATCATCAATATGGAAAGGAAATGAAAACCTGATCTCACCTAGAAGGTCTCCTTTTTTTTTTTGGTCTTACATGCTTTTACCAAAATGACCATTACTTAGGGTTCCCACTTTTTCCACATCATACCTTGATAATTGTGATGACATCTGTTGGAGCTTTACATCTAACTAGCACTTTAACTTTGTACCCCTTACACTCAGACTCAGCATTTTACTGTGGCTATAGATGACAAAGAACTTTCTAAAGTTTCCAAAGATATTTTCTGATTCCTTGTCTTTTTTCCACATTTTGAGTCAGGCATTTAAGAGCATTAGGTTCTTATTTTCTCTCAATATGATTTAGGGTTTTCACAAGCAGTATTCCTTTTCTTGTAATCCCTATCATGATATAACCGCTAATGGACAGGTGCTTGATGTTCAAATATAAAGACAATAAATACATCAAAATATATGAAGTATATTTTTCAATTTATATAAACATTCAGTCTTTTGGAGAACTGTTCTGAAAAATTAGAGGTTTCATTTGGGATCCCAAAAAATAATATGTTAAACCAAGTATGATCAAATAATTTTTTGTGTTTCAGATCTAACTCTAAACCAAAATTCATTTTCGTTTATTAAGCCTAAGTACAAATTAGAAATTTATTCAGTCAAAAAGGCTAAGTTTAAAATATGGGAAACAGACTTTAATCAACTTCTACTTTAAAACCAGTGTTAATATCAACCCACTCAAATTTTTATTTCTATTTCAGAATGTGAACAAATTAGAAATAAGGAATAATATCTACTATAAAAAACATTATGTTCTGAGTCTCTTCATCTAAAAATACCGAATAAACCTATTTGAATCATTAAAATTATGGATTAAAAAGCTTTTGTTGTATATAATTGCCTTTTTATAATACCCTCCCCCATGCTATAGTCAACCTTGAACTACACAGCCTATTATGAATGTAAGAAATTTGATTTAACTAACAGCTAAGAATGATTTATAATTAGTGTATCAATTATTCATTTGTAAATGTTTCCAAGCTACAAAGATTATGTATACAATTTATCACATAAGCAGGGCAATTTCTTCACAAGATAAATATGCTTTGTAAATTATTTTCTCATAAGCAAAGGTAAAATTAAGCTGAACCCCTTTCTGAAGTATCAAAATGGGTATCAGTTGGACCCAAATTAATTTTTCCTGTAGCATTAAAAACAGTTTCTAATAGCCTTACAATCTTTTGATATTTAATATCCATATATTTGCATATAAATCACTCTAAGTTATCATTTATATTTATGTGGAAAGACTGCTACAAAATGTGGTGAATGTTAAAAGAAGCAATAAAATGAATCTATTCTTTGAAAAGACTTCTCTCCTAAGACTGCATCAGTGACTTCCATATTAAATATTCTTAGTTTATGCCTCTCAACAGTTTTTCTAATGCTCTAATGTTTCACACATAGCAAGCTGACCACAAATCAAACCATTTTTATACTGCTTCTAGTCAGTAACCTAAAAAAGACTTTTGGAGTCAGAATTTACCTGAAAAATTTGTAGATGATATATGATGCCAACTAGCATATTTCCCTAATTTTCCTTAACTGTTAAGGCTCTAAGATTGAGAGCAAAAGCCGAACATGTCTATGTTGAAGCAAAAGCATATCAATGAATAATTTCCTCATAGCTTGTGAAATATAGTTGATGGTCAATTATTGTTGCATGCCCTCTAATGTATTGTTCTAGAATCTCTCTAACCATTTGGGAAAAATTTGGAGATTGTGTCATAAATATTTAGAAATTGTATCATAATACCTGGTATTAAGGGTTGAATTGTGTCTGTCCAACAATACATGATTCCTAACCCTGGGTACTTGTGAATGTGATCTCATTTGAAAATATCATTGCAGGTGTAATCAAGATAAGGTCACACTCAATTAGGGTGGGCCTTATTCCATGAGACTGGTGTCCTTATAAGAAGAGGAGAAAAGACATGGGTAGAAGACAGAAGAGATGATGTCATGTGATTATGAAAGTAGGCCTGGGCGTGACGCATCTGTAAGCTAAGGATCACCAAGAAATGCAACATCAGAAGCTAAAGAAAGGTATGTAACAGATTCTTTCTTTGAGCTCAGAGAGTGTATGGATCAGTGACACCTTCTAGCTCCAGAACCGTGAGAAAGTAAATTTCTATGGTTTTAAGTCACACACTTAGTGGTAATTTGTTATGGTAACCCTAGGAACCTAATAAACCTGAATGTCAATGACACTCCTTTCCCTTGTGACTATGAAGGCCTTTTTAAAAATACTTGTTTTTTTTTTCTAAAGAACAATGAATATATTAGCAGCTATTAACATATATTCCAGAAAAGAAAGATTCTCTGAAGAAATGAGAGAAACAAACATATTATTGTTGAGGATAAAGAAAATTAAAAAGTATGAGAACCTATCCAAAATGGAGTGATGCAGCCAGGTCTGACCATTGCATCCTTCATTTTCAAGGCAGAGTGGGAGAGCCTATTAACTGGAAAAAGGAAAAAAAGTATAGATTGGTGATGGTGTTGAAAACACCAACCTAATTACAACTGTATTGAGGACCAAGGCAACCTTTCCCATGATATTTACTTTAAGACCAAAGTTTAGAGGTAATTGGATAAAGATAAATTTGTTACATGGAATAGAAATATTAGGGAAGTCTGCAAGCATTATTAATGTTCACCATTTACTGGTGTTAAATTGGTTAGGTTAGTGAGCATTAGTAAAAGTATTTAGTTTTCAAAAAATTATTTCTTTTTTTTTTGTTTGTTTTACCTTTTAATATGTCTTATTTCTTAATCAAAATAGTTATGAAATCCCATTTCAAAAAACAAACACTTTATAATTTTCAAGGTTGCCTGAAGTATTATCATGAAAATGATCATTCAGTTCTAATTTTATGATTTGTCAATACTTTTACTACTGCCCTAATTTTATTTATTTATTTATTTATTTATTTAAATAATAAATTTTATTTTTATATTCCCCATACAATTGCAACCCCCCCATTTTGACCCCAATCCCTCCCCTCCCCCCCAAAAAAAGTGTCTCTGGTTCATAGTTTTTTGTTGATTTTGATTTTCACTTTCTTATAGTTATTCATTTTCCTGGTAAAAAATTATTTCTTAACATGTAATATGGTGATAATATAAATACAAATGATATAGTAATAAAGAAAATTTTTGTGCTTACAATGGACCATTTGAAAACTGTAATTATCTGGAATAACTTATTTTATCTACTCCTTGCTAAATCTTCATTGATATCTTATGGCAGCTATGGTCATTAAACAAAAGCCCTGAAGTTAGGAAAAAGCTATTTTAGAAATGAAATTTTACTTAATATACTCAGATACAGAAGGAAGAGTCCATGTCTGTCAAAGAGACTTGAGGCTTGAGGTTGTGAGAGGATATGTTTGGACACCTCTTGATGAGCCTCAGGAACAGAGAAGATAAGATGCATTAAGTCACTTTCTCCTAAAACTCATTTTTCATTATATTTACCATAAACAGTTATCCTTATGTATTCTGTGGAAAGTGATAATGGAGATTTATCAAAAAAATAAAAATGGCAACGCCATATGATCCAGAAATACTACTGTTAGGTATTTACCCAAAGACTATGAAAACACTAATTTAAAAAGTCATGCTCTCTTATGTTTATAGCAGCTTTATTCACAATAGTCAAATCATAGAACAAACTTAAAAACTCATTGTCAGAGGGCTAGATAACAAACTATAGAATATAAACCGCATAGAATACTACTCAGGTATTAAAAAAGGTGAAATGTTATCTTTTAGGATAAAGTAGATACATCTTGATGTGATTATGTTATGTGAAATAGGTCAGAAAGTGAAAGTTACTGGGTGGTTTTACTCACTTGTGGAATATAAATAACCAAAGAAAACAAGCTGGTGAAACAGAATAAAAAATAATTCTTGGACTCTGAAAAATATAATAGTTACCGGTGGGGATAGGGTATGAATAGGGAGGAGAGGTTGGGGGGAAGGGAAGGTTATCAGGTATTGGCACTGGGGGTTTGGTGGAAGGTGAATGAAACATGGGGCAATGTTGAGATGTGAAGTTGTGCTCCCCTGAACCATATAATTGCATAGACTGAGGGCAAGTTAATGAAATTGGGGAAAAATGAAATTTTACAAGGTGAATGTAATAGAACTCATATATCATTTTAATTTAATAGCAATTTGTTAGCACATTTATTTTGTTATTATCCATGATGAATAAAACCATATGCTAATTTAAACAAACTACTAGGACTTTCTAAATAAAACCTTAACTGACTTTGCAGCCAGTTTTTTGATGGTTTAATGAACTAACCAAATTATAAAAAGTATTAGTCTATTCTACTACTACCGACTTTGAAATATACTTTAATTTTCATGGTAATATTTTCTTTTGTACAAAGTACTGTATTTCATAGTGCTAAGTAGGACCTATAGTTATATGGATGGCAAGTCAGCTGTAAATATACAGAGTTGGAATTACTTAAGTGGAGATCTAATAAAACCCAGAAATTTATATGCAGCAGGTCCTTCAATAACATTGTTTTGTTATAACATTGATGAGAAAAAAATCTTGACCAACATTGAACAAAATGACAATATTTAAATGATGTTATTCAAGGACCTACTTTCCTGTGTTTCATTTTGCTTGAAGTTGCTATTTCCAAGAACCTATTTAGGACTATTAAGTGTGGACTTAACTGTTATATAACTGTCAGAAAAATTAGTTCAAACTTGAAACAGCCAAGAAAGATTACTGTATTATTTGAGTACAGTTCTGGTCTAAACTGTTTATTGCCGAGGCAGTTTTCACACTAAAGGGACAAGAAGTTAGACTTTTGTCTGAAAAGAAGCAAGTAATGTCCACGATAGAAAATACTAAAGATTACTCTCTGTGGACGTATGGTATATAAGCAGTGTCAGATCTAATACAGAAATCTTACTCTAACATTTCTTTGTTTAAATCTCGTATACTTTTAATGCCATAGGCTCTTTGAACCAGTCACATTGTTGACTGATTTCCTTATTAGTTAATGATTTCAATAAAATCTTTGATATATTCATTTTAAATTTATAAGAATCATGTTTTTCAACTTTTGAAAGTTATGCTTTCTTTGTTTGGAGATTATCTGCTGAGATGCCCAAATGGACTCATGACAGACCCAGGTGTATTATCTTGTAGGAGACCTGTACCCCAAGGGCTGTTTCAATTTAGGCATGTCCAGTTTTGTTGCCTAGAGTGAAACTCAAGTGACAGTGTTAACTTTTCTGACTCTCCAGGTTTTTGTTTCCTACTGTTTTTGTTTTTGTTTCTGCTTTATGCATAGCTTATAGTTTATTCCCCATTGGTGGTAACAATGGATAGGAGTCAGATACTGTGGTTTAAACATTTGGTAAGATACCTGTTCTATGGATGATGATGATCTGTCTTCTCTTAGGAGATAAATGATAGAAACTTGATTTGTTACTTTTTCTTTTTTCCTATTCTATTTTGATTAAAATTTTCTGTCCAGTGGGAAGGAAGAAAATTCCTTGATTTTTGAACTGGTGAGTTTTTGTTTCTCTACCAACTTTTGCCTGAAACTAAAATTGCAGAATTGAAAGTGTAAGTTCTCTTTACATCTGTGTTTATGTTTGTGTGTCTGTTACTCAACAAAGTGTTTTTTTTTTTTTTTTGACAAATGTGAAGTATTTTCCTATCTCTGGCATTATAATGTTTCTTAATTCTGTAGATTGGTTTTTCAAGAACAAACAAGTACTTAACATAAATTATGTATTTTTAAGAACCACAGTAAAACTTTTTTCCTAATACTTCAAAAATTTTAGTCACCTCCTCTACAAAATAATCTGCCTTACAGATACTATTAGTTCAAAAACATTTGAAGATTTAAGTTACAAAATCAAAATGAATCTTCAGCAAATAATACTGATTTATAATTTTGATTTAAAAAAGCAGTGAGTATTTTTCCTCTGATATATTATTGTCAAGTATATTACAAAAGCACATATTTTTTATAAGATTATTTATTGTAAGATTTAGGTTTGTATCCTCATGAAAGAACTAGTGAGTGACTCTGATACTTTTATTAGCTTACTGATCAAATAAGCTGATGTTTCTACATGATGTTTAATCTTATGAAAAGTGTAAATTAGTGTTGAACTAAGTTGAATCACAATACTGACAGAAGCTTTTATGTAACAGTGGCTATGTTTTGCATTTCCTATTTTTTTTTTTAAGATTTATTGATTTATGCATACAATAGCTGGGGTACAGGCCAGAGATGCGGGGGGTGAGAGGACTCACCAGAGACAGAGCGGGGAAAAGAACAAGCAGATTGACCCAAGTACACTGCTGAGGGGAACAGCGGGCAAGTCAGGAGAGGTCTGCTGCTCCATGTGGGTGGGTTGCTCCCTGGCTGGCTGGGTATAGACTGGTGCTGCAGAGGCTGCAAATTGCTTCATATTGCAGTGCTTAACCCTTGTGCCACCAGGGAGGCCCCTGCATTTCCTATTTTGAACAGAAGCTAAGTATGTTTTATATTTATATTAAATAATATTAATTAATGGATAATTTTTCCATACCCTAGATAATTTCTTAACATTGGATACTGAAAGATGATTGATGCTTAAGGATAACTTTAAGATTTATACTTTTGCTTCTTGATCTTACATGCTATAGAATGGAAATACTGTTGAATAATTTTTGTGACGGTATTAATTATTTCTGCCACTTTAAGGAAAGTAAAGTGTATCTGTACAAAGTCATCTTAATGTATACTTAAAAGCTTTGCTATTCTGCTAATATGTTTGCATCTGACAGTTTTCAGTTCTTTTCCTCTCAATTTTCCCTATGTGTAGAAGTTATTACTTTGGTGAAATACTATAACTAATATGGGTTGGTGAGATTATCCTAGGAGCATCATGGCAGAGAAATCTAACTACTTAAAATACAAACAAAATGTAATTACTTAAAAAAAGTGATTTGATACTTTTACTGTCAGTTATTAATACAAATATTAATATAAATATTTTGTTGTTTCTGTTAA